TAGAAAAAATGGCACACACAGAGAGAGAGAGAGAGAGAGATTCCGCAGTGCCCCCTTCACGCCAATGCCTCTGGTTCCACAGCAACTTCAAAGGGCATCAACTCACTTATAAATCTCACAGTTCAAAGGAAAATCATCAGGGAGTCAGCATGAGCCAGCTACCAGGGGAGGCAAAATCGGTCTCCCTTTCCCCCCAGTATCTCCACAAAATGCGCATTCATTTTAAGAATGCCTCTCAGGCCTTAGAAGAGCATTCAGAAAAGGGAACATCCTTCAGCAGGGTGGGGGTGTATCTCAGAACGGTGCATGATCGCGACAAAGAACAGACAAAGAACACGCATTAGTGAATGTTTATGCAGCAAGGTGGGGGTCAGCTCTCACCCACCCCAAAATCCCAGGTAAGTCGAGGGTGGAATGCATTACGTGTTCGCAGGGGAGGTTGGTGACTCCTACTGTCAGTGGGACTCTTGATCCACTGCAGCTTTTGTCTTGAACTTGACCGCAGCTATGCTTGGGGCTAAACTCCAACCCCAAAATAGGTTCACCGCCATGGAGTGCCGTGAAGATCCTATGACACGCAGAATAAAGACTGCCTTGCCCGCCTACATGTCTGGCAAGATACAACGGGGCTTCCAGCTTCTGGCTTCCAGCCCTGGGTTGCTGAGGACACGCATCGCAGTGGTTCAAAGAAGGGCCACCTGGGGGAAAGCGCATGTGGGAAGTCCCAGGTATGATCATCTCCCGACAGGGTTAAGGAAAGAGCCGTGTTCTGAGAACTTTTCTGCACAAGGGTGTGAATCAGCATTCACCTGCCGTATGGTTTGGCTTTGTTGCAGGAGTCGAATCCCAGCAACCTACCTGGCAGTTTCCTTTCTTGCTTTTAGACTGTACCACCTCTAGGTGGCACTGGTGTGTACTGGAATAGCACAAATGCACAAGAAGCGCTGCTTTTGTTTGCCTTCACAATTAAATACTTCTCCACAAGCAAACAAACAGCATGCCGAAAGTGCTGGTTAGAGCCAGATGTGAAAAAGGAGGGTCACAACAGGATGTCAAAGAATATGAAAGGATGTACATGTGATAAATGTCTCATCACCAGTTGGGGTAGATGGAGGCGAGGCAGGCCTAAGCCAACCTACCTGAGGGTACCAAAACAAACCTTTGGGGATCCTCAAAAGGCCGTGCCCCCCTCTCCATAGCTTAGAACCCAAGCTTTATCACAGAGTATCACTGGAACCTAACAGCGGAGACAGTCCTGGAATCCACAAAGCAAAAGGGAAAGACTCTTCCATTGGATTAGAAAGCCAGAAGGATAGATCTTTAACTAGGAGCTGGAAAATTCTAAAGGAGCAGTGATTGAAGGGAAAGGCCTGAGGCATGAATTGTAGCTTTCAGAATGTTGGCTCAGGCCAACACTTTGCCCAAGCGTTCTCTGGCAGAGAAAAGACAGCAAAATTTGCTTTTTTCTAACCGACTTACTGATGCAGAGATCCCTGAATACCAACATACATGTACTAATACAGCCCAATCTAAGCAATTTAACTGCAAATATCTGGCCCCCTGACTGGATAAAGAACACTCACCATTTTTTGCTCACTGTGCATGCTAAAAATCTGAAATAACCATGGCAATTAGAGATAATTACAGTGATTTTGAAATAGGAATTTGGTTGGGTTCTGAGCTGGCATCGAAGAGCGGGGTCGTGGTGGAGAAAAAGGATGCAGGGCAGGCTGAGGATTAATCCTAGAATATGTACTGCCCCGTTTCCCATGCAAACGGCCTGCTGCTTCAGTTGATGACCTGCCAGATCTTTTCTGTTTAAGGATTCTGCATAAATTATCCCGAATGCAAGACAATCTCAGCAGACAGAGGTTGGTTGCCTGTTGTTGCTTAGCACAGCATACGGGTTAGTTCTGCAAAAAAAATCCAGGCAGATGTCTCAGCCAGCTTGGAAAAAAAAGACACATTCACAGAAGGGTGCCTGCCACCTCCCATCCCAGCGGGATGCCCCTTATATGAATGTGTTATTTACTAGAGTAAGGCACAGGGGAAGCAAAATGTTGCCAGATGCTTGCCTTCGACTCAAGCGATTATGTGAAGGGGTGTGTATGCTCAACCGGCTCTCTCTCTCAGGTACACCAAGGGAATTCTGGATCTGCACTGAGACTACAATTTTTTAGAACGTACAGAACGCTGTCCTAGAACAAGCAGCTGCTATGGCACGCCTCTTTGCATCTTATCTTCTTGCACGGAGTGGCCATTTCTGACTTCTCCCCAGGAAACAGGACAAGAGGATCCCCATTGCATCAAATTTGCTGATACATACATGCAAATTTAGAAATAATGCATTGAAAGAAAGTTATCTTCTGTTTAAGAGCTGTGCACTCCAAGTCTGGACCAAAGACAACCTGGACCTCCAAGCTACTGTTCCACAGCCCTTGGACAGCAATTGTCAAGTGTTTTGCAGTACAGTGAGATGAATATTAAATTCATTTAACTATTAAGTATCATTTAAATAGGAGAGCTACCTAATTTTAAAAGGTGAAGATAAGAGTGTTGGATTGAGACTTGGGAGATCTAGGTTATAATCACCAGTAGGTCAGGCCCATCACTGACTCAGACTAACCTGCCTCACAAGATTGTTGCTGTGAGGATCAAATGCAGAAAAGTCCTGCATAAGCTGCCTTGGGTTCCTTGCAAAGAACAGTAGGATAGAAATGTGGTAGTAACTAAAATAAAGTAGGGTTTGTCCCTGATAAACAGAGATGAGTCCAAGGAGATTTCCCCCGTCAGCAACTTATGCAAACCAGCAAGTGGAATAAAAGAAAATGCAGAATTATTACATATATGATTCCTTAGTGTCCCCTCTGGTTTTACAACAACCCAGTGAGGTAGGAGAAATGGAGAAACTGATTGCTTCGAAGTAGCTTGGTGCGTTTCAGAGCTGGGTGAAGATTTGAACCCCTGTGTCAAGTTGATAGGCTTCATGAGGCGGGTTACCATCTGTACCTTCTTTTGCTACAAGCCACGAATTACTGTTCAAGTATGCAAGTTATCTGCCACCGTATCTCATGTAACGTTAGTGCTAGGAATCTTCCAGGGTCTTCCTTTTTAAAAATTTCCCCTTTAATGGCAGCCCTTTCGTAACCTTCATGACTCTTCAGCTGATCGATTTTGCTTATCACGACCAGTGTCACTTTGAGTCTTCTTGATCCATCTCAAGACTGTGGTCCAAATGGCCCCTTTTAGCAGCACACGCATTCGGCCAAGTAGGTACAAGGCCACTGGGTATCAGGTTTACCAAAACAAACAAACAAACAAACCAGGTGCTTTAAAAACCCTCAAGAATAATTCTCCACTTATTTGCTGTATTTTTACCTCTTCAGCCAGAAAAGGGTCCCAGAATATCTTACAGAGGTTCAATGGGAGACCTTCCCTGTCCTCAGGGTTACTTTCTAAAAGGCCATGATGCAAAAGCAAAAGAATTGGAAGAGAGGAAGAAAAAAGCAGCAACTAAACTCAGGCATGGACTTTGGTTTCAAATCTCTTACTGGCTTTCCTTTCCGAGGGAGATGCAAACCAAGCTTCTGGGGTTGTTTTCTTTCTGTATTGGGCCCATTTGGTCTCCCCCTTTCCGCTATGTTCTTCCTATGTGAGAACAGTCACTCAGTGGCCAATGGATAAAATGTCTGTTTCACTGGTTTTGACAGTCATCTTGCATTGTGTGTGTGTGTGTGTGCGCGCAGACACACTTTGGTTACATTTTTACTGGCCCTTTTTATTAGAGGAAATTATTCAGCCAAGGATTTAACTTTGCTTTTGTTGATAACGGGGCCCAAAGCAAGATATCAAGAATGCAAGGACATAGGAGGAAAGGCTTCTAACTAGCCTAATGCCTGTTTTGCATGCAGAAGCCTCAGGATCCATTCCCAGCATCCCCAGATAGGAAGCCAAGGACAGGGAAGAAATTCCTCCATGCAAACCAAAGCTCAACAAAAGGGCAGCGGAAAAGGACAACTAAAATGATAAAAGAGCTGGTATGTCGCTTAGAGGGTTCGATTGGTCATAAGCTCATTGGATGACTCTGGACCAGTTCCTCACCCTCAGCCTTACGCACCTCATACAGCCGAGAGAATAAAACGGAAAGGAGGAAGTCTGTGCCATGAATGCAGGGGCTTGTCCCTGTGAGAATGGCTAGAGCTGCGTTACAGGAACGGATAAATGAAATGCAAGAAAAAGCAGCACAACGGAGATACAGGTTTTCTGCCCTTTCTCCAAGCAGCTCAGAATCACAACTCTCTGGCCTGCCCCCCCCGCCCCTCCTGCAAGAAACCTGTGGAGTAGCTTAGCTTGAGACACCGCGATGGCAGGATATACAGGTATGGACAACTTGGCAGGCACCTGAAAGGTTTCTCTGGTTGGTCTGTCGCACTACAGGGCAGCATCTCTCATTCTCATAAAAGCATTAAGGCTCTAGATACGACCTCTAGGAGGTCCCCAGTGCAAAGGGACCAGTTGCAGGGATCCAGTGATCCTGCAAAGTACATCACATCGACGCATCGGGGATGTTGAACCTCTGGAATCCCCAAACACTCTCCTTGCTGAGGTTTTGGGGCAGTTCCCCTGCTACCTTTTGGTAGGCCTCTCCTAAGGCTTAGTTGTCATCCAGATAGCTTGACTTTCGACAATATGGAAATACAATAATGAAATTACTGAAAGATTTTAGCTGGGAGGGGGCATCCCTTTAGGCTTTGGTTTGCCCACTACCAGGATATCTGCCCCCTCCCACAAGCTTCTCTGATTATTCCTCTCTCAGGCTTAGTGAGGCTCAACACTCGTAAGGACCATTTAGAGAGCAACACATATCTCCCCCCATGCCCAGTTTGCCTCGGATGACGGCTAAGATCAGGTGCAAAACCCAACCCACAACTCCATGGAATGCGGTGCACAAGATTCCCCCCCCCCATCTCACCTGTGAAGAACCAAACAGGACACCATTCTTAAATGTGTCAATTCCTTTTTAATGTTTTCAAAAAAATAAAAAGGTCTATCTTGAGCAACTGCGGTTAAGAAGGAAAATTTTGTTTTTGTGCTCCATGAAGTGTGAGCATTTTCACGGACTCATGCATGGGTGGGGGGTCAGGAAGAGAAAAAAAAGAAACCAACTGACATTCTCTTTGTTCAGACCTGTATGAACACAACCTCCACCATGCTCCCGTGTCACCGAAGGCACCTTGTCGGGCCTTCCTCCCATCCCACGCCCTCAATCCTGTTAGATGGGAGACGCCGGATAACATGAAATACAACAGCAACACCAACCTCTATGGTTCTACTGAGATTTTGTACAAAGTTTAGGCATACTTTCGATTTTGCACAGACACATGAACTTGTTCGTTCTTCAGAGAGATAGCTGGGGTTTTCCTAGTTATTTGCAGTCAGAGAAAAAGATTATTTTAATGGGGGAGGGGGGTTATGCTTCCCTTCCTACTGATCCCAAAGGCACACAAGCACGGACAGATGCTGACATGGTTACAATCCACGCCCTGAAGTCAATATTAAGCCACTGACTGCGTGTTTGGCTGGTCTGGGAGAGGGCAAAGGAAACGGTCACTCCAGCCCTGGTGTCAATTTGTAGGTTCTTTAACTGCAGAAGGAACCAGAGATTTGACAAACGCCATCACTGGATTTCAAGGATAACCCTGAGGGTGGGCGAGAAAAAGGGAAACAGCCTGACAGTTCTTCACAATAGAGCTGAAATAGAAGACTACACTAGAAATGTTAAGAAAGCCCCATGAAGACACTTATCTGCAGTTTCGGGTTGCGGGATCTTTGCACAACTACTTTCAAAGATGCTGAAGCATTTGGGGCAGGGGGTGGGGTAGAGTAACCACAGAAAAAGAATTTGGGGATCATGATTGTCTCCAGTAAAGACAAAGACTGCAAAACCAAGCCACCAATTTTGGGCACCTTGCCCACAAAGCAACGATTGGAAGCAAACCACAATAAGGCAACGACGCATCAGAACAAGGATAGGAAAGAGACCAGACTGCAATGATCATGAGAGGAGTGGCCAGGCGATACTCCATACACAGAGTACTTTTCCTTGAAATTGCTGTGGGTGTGTGGGCAGAAAGAACATATGGAGGATCAGGCCAAAAGCACATGTCAGGATGCTATTTATACCCTAATTCTATTTTACAGCTAAATTACCAGCTTTGTTTTCCCAAGCTCTACTGGAGACAATATTGGGCAAACTGGAGAGAGTAGGTGACCCTTTAGAGTAGCTGCTACCCCTTTCATGACTAAGGTGACTTTGCAAGAGAATAAGGTAGTCTTTGGGAGAGAATGTCTGGCAGGATTTCTTTAAAAAAAAAAAAGCTTTGGGTACCTCACTTTAGACACTTTAGACTTTAGCTTTGGGTACCCTTCCAATGGTATTTTTATCTTTTTAATTGTCTGCTCAAGTTCAGCTTCAAGACTTTTTCCAAGAAAGTTAAGCCAAAGGATGTTTGTTGTGGACTTCTCGTTTTTAATTTATTAGCTCTTCGCACTTAAAGGCCATGGTTGAAACATTTGACAGTTCTCCTAGTGCAAAAGGAAAAAAAAAGCAAAAAAAAAAAAAAGCAGTAATTGAAAACTAAAGGGAAAAACAAGTCACTGCCTTTCTTTCCCCAGGTGACCAAAGCAAAAAGAACTGTAGGGGTTTTTTAACTGCAACATATACACATTAAATATAGTATACAGTCCATGCAGCGGTGCAGCCATGGTAAGGGAAGCTGAACCTCCCGTCTTCAGTTCACTAACAGTCCGTGTTCCTCGCGTGCCGTTGTTACCCCACCACTGCCCACCTCCTAGCCTGACTTGAAGAGGAGAATTGCAACCTGGCCCAAGTAGAAATAGATGAAATGTTTCGTCTCGTGCGTTACGTAACTGCCGAAATTCCTGCCCACGATGCAGTGCCAAGTGGGGTTGTATTTCTTGTCAAATTCCTGGAGTGCGGGCAAAAATGAGGTGGGGAGAAAAGAAAGAGTTGTTAAAGCAGGACCAACCCCCCAGCTCAGCCTACATGGCTAAGATGTTTTCCAAAGGCTTAGCTACTACAGGTAAGATATTGGGAAACTAAAACGTGCTGACAATGCTATCCCTGCCCCTTCTGCCAGTGTCTCCGGCCCCTCCCCAACCCCAAGACTTTTTCTGAAATGGAATCTGGCCCTCAGGTGGAAAGTATCAACACTCCTTTTCTAGTTGAATTGCATTCCTCCAGGGCTTGCAAGCAGACTATGCCCAGTATCCAAATGCGGAGGTTCCATAAACTCATTGCAGCAAAGAGTAACCCACAGGTTTATTCTACTGGGCATGTCTTGAGCGACTGTTTAAAGAAAAAAAAAAAAAACTAAAAGTGTTGTAGAACTGTAGAAGCCACTTTTGGGAAGTTGGGAATATGAATGTCCATCCTTTTTGTCATTTTCTACTGGAAAAATTATGGGAGGTATTCATACAATGCATTGCACCAGATTCCTGGTTTACTCCTTAGAATAAACCCTGACTGGGAAGAAGGCTGGGGTTTGGCTCCTGGTTCAACAGCTCTCGGCTCGCTGTTAATGTGACAGGCTCTGGCTTACATGTCGCATCCAGGCCTGACAAATGGACCCTTTAAACTGACAGGCTTCCGGGGCACTTGGATCCTCCTGCAGCAATCACATGTTTTCTCCCACTGATGCAGGGTTCCTGCCAGTGCTTTCATGGGAATGTAGGACTCTGCCATGCACCGAGTCGGTCCACTGGTCTGTCTGTCCATCTACACACAAGAGGCTCTCCAAGGTTGCAGGTAGGGGTCTCTTCTCCAAGGCCTCCAGCTGGCTTTACCTGTCCTTTTAAAGACACTCCTGGCTGCCCAGGTATCCATCACAGCAGTTCCACCAAGGGCACCCACCAGCCCTTGCCTCTCTCTTCCCAGCCCCTTGCGTGACAGGCAGGTAAATGAACCACTCACAGAGTTTTTTTTGAACCCTGCCAAAAAACCCCAACAGCCCATCCATCATTTAAAAGGGGCTTTATTGAAAGATTTCCTGTAAGCTGCTTTGGATACTGATTCCAGTAGAAAGGCAGCCTACGAATAAAACCAGATTAGACCAATCTGGGAAGTATAGCCCTACTTTATAGTCTTATTCTATTAATTCTTTCTTACTTTTTTAAACTGAAAGGCTAAATATTCAAAAGAATCAAGAGCACTTTGCTGCAGGTTATAATGAACAACAGCCGCATTCCCTGATGGAATGTGCTGTCTATCTTGTTTGCTTGTATGGTATGGACTTGGTTTTACTTTTGCTGTGTATTTTTGGCATTGATTACCATGAATCTTGAAATCAAAATGTGAAAAGCATATTGTGATTTTTTTAAAGAAAGATGTGCTAGGTGGAATATAAATCTATTATGAATATGAATACCTAATTAGGAATTTAATAATAATCCCGCTATGTCACAAAGGAAAAAAGCAGCTGCTAGGTTCAGGGGTACCAGAGGCAGGGGAATTTGCCCCTTAAGGCGTCCTTCTGATCCAAGCCCTCAAACACAGCCATCTCAATCAGGGGAGAAGCATAATGTACAACCGCCAGAGGTTTGGAGTTCAGCTCCCAGAAGCCTCTGCCAGCACAGCCAATGGCCAAAAATGCTGGGAGCTGAACCCTCAAATACAGATGACCTACTTTCTGCCCACCTGCTGGGGACTTCACAAGCAACAGACCCCTCAGGTAGGCCTAGCGCTAGCTGAAACCCTGGTGTGATCCCACAGGCCTCCTGTTACCATCCCCCCGACCAGCCATCCCCCCGACCAGCTGTCCCCGTACCTTCTTGATGTATGCGGCAATATCCTTCTCTATGTTGTACTTCTCCATGGCCTGCGTGGCGCAGTCCACAGCATCCTGCTGCATGTCCTCGGACATGTCCGCATTCTTGATCACAGCCTTCCTGTCAGACATGTTGAACCTGTGGCGAAGGGGGCAGAGGTGAAGGCCAAACCACCAGACTTCCAGGAGCGCTTCCCATTCAACCTTCTCCAGCTTTACAGAACAGCTCAAGATGTTCTGAACGGGCAAAACTGACCTGTTACCAGGCTTGTGCAACTGGATGTGCTTTGCTGCAATCAGATGCACAGCGGTGGGAGTTTAATGTCCAGGAGAACCTGAGCCTTTTGCTACCAGCTTTACAAAGAAACCCACAAAGTCCACAAGGAAGTATGCACAACTCGTCCCTGCCAAATTTTGGAGACTCGTGGGCGGGAGCATTCCAAAGGTGGGCAGGGACAACAGAAAAGGGGCTGGTCCAAAAGACCAGCCTGGCTTAGCACTTCCTACGAGAATCAAGGCCTCAGGAGAGTTATTTCTACCTTTCAGGGGAAGAATATGCAAAAGCTGGAAAAGCAGCGAACGATGAGCGGAAGGCACAAGCAGCGAAGCCATCTGGATACTGGAAGCCAAGTGGGCTAGATACAGCGCACTGGTCTCAGGTTCCCCAGTCCAGCTGTAGGCAATCTGCCAGTAATAGACTGAAAGACTAGCAGCCATTTCTTCTATCGCATGTACACCCTTTTCTGTAGACCAACCAGAGAACTTGACCAAGTGAGGTATGAAGGCGCAGCCAGTGGGCCACAAGCACTCGAATGGAAAGATGCTCCTGAGCATAAGTTCTCCTCAAGCTCTCATGTGTACAACTTTCTGTTCAAATGACAGCAGGTTCCTAGGAGCCCCAAATTTCAGGCACAAACTGTAGCAAGAACAAGAAATCCCCAAGTTCTCCTCATCCACCCAGCCCAAGCACTTCATGGGAGCCTCTAGCATCGAAGCAGGTTTTCAGACTCAAAACGACAGAGGCACAGTGATGGGAGAGAAGCCCCAGAGGTAATTTGAAAAGCAAGAATGGATACACGGTGCAGTCTGCAAAGCCAAGCCCCTCCACCTGAACAGGCACGACTCGCAGGATGTGGAAAGGGGGACGGGAAGAGGTAACAGGGCCATTGTATCAGCCCTGCTCTTCCCACGCAATCCTCCTCTCCTTGCATTCCTTGTCCGTTCACCTGCAGGAAGGGTGACTGACTGCACATCACTGATCCAGGGAATCTTGCTGCAGAGGGTGACAGAACCCACTTCAAATAAAGAAATGAATAATCCCATTCCAAGCTACTTTGCAAAACCATCATATCAAGTTTGATCGATGGGTGAAGGCGGTGGCAAGACTTTAGTCATCAGTGCTGCAACTACAGCCAAGCCCAGATGTCACATCAACATGACCCATCATCCTTGGAGTCCAGCCCACATCGGCATTCACGTGCCGAGCTTTGCCAAGCTAGCGGCTTTCAGAACAAGAGAGTTATTTCTGCTTGGCTTCGAACTAGGGCCCATCTCCGTGCCCAGCCAAACCGAACTGCAAAGACATTCCAGGACTGTACCGCTGCGGGCTGCAAATGAATGCTGGCATGTCTGAAAAGTTGCCCCACTGAAAAGGGGGCAGAGGTTTCCTGCATGTGGGAAGAGAAGGCGCCAAGGGGGAAAGCAGCTGCTCCCCACTCTGTAATGCACTGGCAGTTGACACGCAAGAGTGGCACGTGCTTTTGGCAGGGCACAAACGCCCCTACAAAACACGCACGCCATCTCTCATGGGGGGCAACCGAAGAAAGATCACTTTGTTGGCTTAGGCGTGAACTTCCTTTCTGTTTAAAACCAAGTTTCTACAGCACCTCCCTCCATGGCAAGCCTCTTGAGTGTGCTAAGGAGCTCCAGAAGTGCCAGGCTACAACTTTTGGACGCAGCTCCCATCATCTGATAGAAATGTGAATTGAGAAATGAAATCTAGCAGAGGAAAGGGAGGACCACACAGACAGATACATGCAGTCTTCAAATTAAAGCCCCTGCAGACTGCAAAGGGGATGAACATCTGAGCTTTAAGTCAACCTTCCTTAACGGGTGGAGAATGCGTGCTTTCCAGATATTATTGGACTGTGACTCCCAGTGGCCCTAGCTTGCACAGCCAATGTAGGAGCCGTATTTCAACAACATCTGGGAAGCTCCAGAGAGTGGAAAACTGCCACTGAGGAACACCCAGTCCCATGCGCGTGGCTAGATGGCCACTGTGTGAACAGAACTGAAATAGACGGACCCTTCGTCCGGATCTGGCATGACTCTTCTTAACATCTGGAGAACCACAGAATCTATTTTAGTTCTATAGCACCATCTCCTGTAGTCCTAACCTGGCTTACTATCCATATCTGGATCCCATCCAAGCACCTGGTTTGTGCTTTAAGAGCCCTTCCTACCCACACCCCTTTCCTTTCATATTTACCTCCAACTCCAGCGGTAGTTTTTGCTCACCCAGCCGCATTCCCTCAAATTTCTATTATTATTTTACTGGGGCTCAAGATGGACAGCAAAAATTTAAAAACCACATCGCCACATTTTAATTGTCCTTTATGTTTTAGTAAATCCAAAAGAGAATAAAAGAATCGACCCATGAACAGCCCATTCGACAACAGACAAGCTTCAAGGGCTGACTAAAACGGTTGTGGGCTGCTGGTGAAAGACAAGGCGGTGCCCACTGGGCCTCCTCTGGCAGGGAGCTGAAATGCCTCCACTCTCTGCCCCTTGCTGCCTCTCTTATGGCGGCAACTGCTTCCCAGAACAACTGCAGGATGACGTCCTTCCAGTATGGTGTAGTGTTCAATGTTGGCCTGAGACTTGAGATCCAGGATCTGGACCCCACTCAGCCATGGATCTCATCACACGGCTTTGGGCCAGTCCGTGGCCCTCAGTCTAACCTGCCTCATAGGGTGGCTAGGAGGAGAAAAGATCAGGAGGAAGATGCTGTATGCTGCACTGGATTCCATGTAAATGGGAGAATGCTGGGAAATAAATGCATTAAATATACCATTCTTTTCTCAACACTCGCATTTTGGACTGAGGTGACCCCTTGGTCCTCACTTGTCTAAATATGGAAACAGATGCATGAATTTCTCCCCCTAATCTTGCCCCCAATTTCCTTCTCCTACAGGGAATTCTAGACTGCAAGCTGCTCCAGGCAGACGCCTCTACTTCCCAGAGTGTTGTGCTTGCAATGTCATCAATGGGACTCGGATTCCTCCCATCTGCTTCCAAGGGCTTGAAGCCACCATTAGGTGAAGGAATTCACCCACGGCTGCCAAAAACCTGCAGTCCCAACAGCTTTCCACACCCAGGCAGAACCACTGCCCACTTAAATAACTTGGCCATATGGAAGTGTGCTTTGTAAGTGGCAGTTCACAGCCATGCACAACCAATCATTCGCACACATTGTGAAGACAGACATCTCTTTCAGCTGTTCTCAGGGATGCTGCAAGATTACGAAGGGCTCAACTGATGGAAGCAGCTTCTGCGGAGCTGGAGCTGTCTTTCTGAACACGGCCACATTACAAGTTTAAGCACCCCTTTCCGACTCAGCAGAACAATATGGCTGTCCCCACAATAAATGAGGAATAACACTTTTGTGCTGGTGGTGGTGGAGCCCAGAAGTCCATTTCTGATGTATGCGCTGAGCTGCTTTTCCCAGGACTTTAGAGGGCAGAAACCACAACAGCAGTAACCAGTCCACATACTTCATATCAGCTGTTGCTGGATCACAACTTCCATCAACGTTCATTATAGCCTATCCTAGCCGGGGCTGATGGGAGTTGTAGGAAAGCTGTAGTCCCCGACCCTGATTTAAATGCCACCTCCCTGCTAAAGAACATTGATGAATGTCATTTGTAACGCATCACACAAAGGTCATAATTGCTTCTGGGCTTTACTCACAGGAAAGCACCAAGCCAGCATGGACCAGCAAGTATTTCATGCTGGTGATCAACATGTTTCAAAGTTTTTCAGCAGCACAGAGAATAAAGGAGAGCCAGTAGCGGTTAAGGGTGCAGGCCTGAGACACAGGCGATCTGGGTTCTATTCCCCGCTCAGCCATGGAGCCAACTAAGTGACTTTGGGCTATTCACAGACTTGCAGCCCAACTTTACAGGGTTGTTGTTGTTGTTGTTGTGGAAGAAGACTGAGAATAGGAGGAGAATTAGGTAAGCTGCTTTGAGTTCTTAAAAAAAGGTGAGATATAAAACTAATAAATAAAGCAACTTCACATTTAGAAAGAAACTAGTTTTGATTTGCAGTGGGGGGCACTTGCCTGTCACATATGCAAGCATGCATCAAGCCCCAATATTTACTCAGGAAGCACCACCCCAACATTCTCCAATTTTTATTTATTTAAAGTTTTTCTAAGCTGTCCATTACTAAAAAAAAGTCTCTGAATGGCTTACGAGGAATGCTGTGAAGTTCTTCCCCATGGACCTTATCCACCTGAATCTCCATATAGCAACTTCATCCAACCTGATACCTTCCAGATTTTTTTAAAATTTCCACTCCCATCAGCCCCAGCAAGTATGGCCAAGGATCAGGAAACCTAGGAGTTGCAGCCCAAAACATCTGGAGGGCACAGGGCGGAGGGGGCAGCTGTTCCATAGGAATCCTGAACACACTTTCTGCAAGGCAGATTTCCCATTCAGATGTGCTGGACTCCCACTTCCAGGAGCGTAATTCACTGACCAGGGTGATAGTGGATAATGGAAGTCCACACAATCTCACAGGCAGTCAGTTCGGGAAAGTTGCTATAATTCCTGCCACAATTTTCTCAATCTATCTCAGAATTACAGTTTTCGCAAGCCCTTAACAACTAAAGGCACAATCCTATGCAGGTTTAGGCCGGAAAAATGTCCTGTAACTCCCAGCATTCCACAGCTTTTTGGGGAAGACTGGGAGATGCAGGACGTTTTCTTTCCATGGAAGGAAACAGAGCTCTGAGTTCAAATACCTGCTTTGTATACAGATGGTTCCAGGTTCTGTCCTAAACACCACCAATTAAAAGGATCAATATATTAAGGAATTCTGACATTTGCACATCTGATAGGATAAAAAAAAAGTCCACAAAAATTTAGGCTGGAAGAAATGTGTCCATCTTTCAAGCGCACCAAGCTCCTCGGTGAGCAAAGGTTGGTAGCAGGCGTCTTTCCAGATCAGCCAGACCAGCCCTTATGGGAGTCACCTTGAGCCACCTCAAGCCATCCAACGGTGAGAGGAGCGGAGAAGAGCTGCTTCTCTAGTTCTTCTGCTACCACCTGCCCATGGTCGTCCAGGGGCAGGCAGCCCAACGTGTCCTGCAAGCCAGCCAAACCCAGTCCCATTAAAAAGGGGAGTTCCTCAGGGGTGGAGTGGGAACAGGGAGGAGAAGTTGAATACTGCAAGCCATTCCTGTCTCTTGGCACCGTGCCAATGAGCAAGAGAAGGAGTAGCTTTGTTACAGCAATTAGAGATGCTTTGCAAGAGGAGGGAAGGGGCCGTTACATAATAGCCACGGTCAAGGTTACAATTATGCACACCTTGGCCACAGTCCTTTAGTTAAAAAGTACAATTCGGACCATCATTTGCATCAAAGGCTGCTACAGTTACGGGGAACCTGGGGGAGAGGAAAACCCTAGTCAGTTTGCAGCAAAACCCTTGGAAGCTACTCTGTCATTACTATTCTGAGACAAAACAAGTAAATTATTTGCCCTTCAATTCCACAGCTAGAAGGGGTACCTGCTGGAGAACCACGGTGGTTCGTGAGGGACAAGAGGCCTAGCTTCACAGCTTCAAGGCCTGGCTCCAAGACTTTTTGCCCGCGATTCAAAGATGGGCTCTGACCAGCAGTCACCCCTTGGTCTCTAACTGGTCCCATTTTGCAGGTGGTGCCAACAGAGGCGTTTCCCATGGGTGAAACACAACAACAGCTGCTGCAATATCCTACCACATTCTAGCACACAGAACAAACAAAATCCTGGACAGAGAAGGGCAGACCATTAGAAGACACCCTAATGGGGTATCTGGAGACATCTTTTTTCCCTTCCGTCAAAGTAGTGATGGCTTCTACTGCCTTACACAGACACATTAGTAGATTAGTAGTCAGGCTGTCTCTCTCTAGAGTTGCAGCAGGGGGCCAGCCCTACCAGATGAACCTAGGAAACAGGTATGCGAAGCACCGCGCCACGGACCTTGCCCTGAAAATTATTCTTGCCAAAAAGCAAGGGCTTCCAGAATGCAAACCAAGCCAGCAGAAGTCCCGGGGCCACACCCATCACTTTCCATCAGGGTTCGCCACTTTCGCTTGAAATTGACACCCTTGAGCTTAATCCTACCGCAACTATAAATGGAAGTCGGTGGGATTTATATGCTTTCTCGAGTGAGTTGTCAGTCCTTTATTTGGCCTTTGGGATACCAAAACAAAAAGCTCGTAACAGACACACGGCCATGACGTTTCAGCGGGGCACTCCACAGCCGCCCCACAGAGCCTTCCCTATGAGGGGCTTCAGCGTTAGCGCTTCCAACATGGGTCCCTTGTGCCAGTGAACATAAAGGGGGCTACCACAGGCCTAGTTCTGCAAGCCAGTGGGTTGGATGCACCATGTATTTGGCCAGGTAGTCTGACAGAGGCCTGGCCTCCAGGACAGGGCAGCCGCAAGCATGTGGTGGGGAAACTTCCAGCCATGCCCCTACCCTTCCTGACCTTGTAAGACACAACAGCCTCATCACACACAGCGCACTAAGAGACTGTGCTGGCATAAGCCAACAGCCGAGCTGCAAAGCAAGTGCTAATGGGGAAAAATCACTACCTGGAACAGGTATTTCTAAAAGGGGGGTTAACAATCCACAACCTTGTGCCCTCCCAGCATCCCCCAGCTGGCTGCAGCTGTGGTTCCTGAGCAAAGGGCGAGCTACCGCCTGCTGAACCAGCAACTAGGAAACCTGAACCGGTTTGTTTACAATCACTTTACCCCAGCCCATTTTACACTCCCAGGAAAAGGAGGTTCCCTTCCTCATTTAGACAAGATGCAACCCCCAGGCGGGCGAGGGCCGCCCCAGCACAAGGTTCCCTTCCCTTTCTTCTTCTTTTTAAGGGAGCCAGAAGTGCTCTGGGAGCTTCCCACTTGCACCTCTCCCCCAACACCACACTTGCTCTCTGATTCTTGGATCCTGCCCAAGAGCAGCTCCACCTGCAGGTCTAGGAGAGGCAACAACCTCTCACTTGCTCAAAAAGGCCTGGCGATGGCCAACCCAAGCCACCCTCCCCTCCCGCTCTCCTCTAGAAGGATCCACGCTGGATCCCATGTTACACTGGCTGGCAGGGACACGGCTGCCAGCGGATCACAAAGGATAGCGAAGGTGAAAGCGAGTCTGATCTGCCCTGCTGCAACCCCACGCTGCAACACAGAAAAGCTCAAGTCCCGCTCCACCCTTCGCCACACAATGAGGCAACCTCTGGGGGAGCTGTCCCCCCCCCCAAAATGTACACTGCTCTTTCAAAGAGGTCTGCAAGCAGAGGAGGAGGCAGGAAAGATGCTCCCTTTCTCCCAACTGTTTGAAATCAAAGGTGAGACAGGGCACCCTGGGAAGCACCCCAAAGGATCTCTAGCCTGGAGATTTCAGGATTGACCTTGTATCCAAGTGGTGATTGAGGGAGAGGAATAAAAGAAGCAAAGATTTCTCTGCATTTCTGCCAGGGCAAATAGAAGCAGGGGAAAGTTAACACCTACAATCCAGAAGGGAAAATTTAAGGATCTGCTGCATCTCGCCCCCTCCCATCCCAAAGCTACGATTGGTGCAGAGGTGAACAGGGAAGCCAAGGCAAGAAACGGGGCGGGGGGGGGGGGGGGCTAGACACTGTCCTCCTCTCCACCCCACCACGCAAGGGTGGTGGTGGGGAAAATAATAGTTGAGGTTCAGTGCAACCAAACTGGATTCAACACCCACTGGAAGGGCCCTTGGGGGCGTGGAGGGGGGGAGCGAACGTACTTCTACGCTACCATCCGATACACACTTGCCTGCGAGTAAACCCCATGAAACGCAATGGAGCTTACTTCCGAGTAGACGTGCATACGATCGCGGAGTGGGTGTGCGCGTTTTTTAAAAGTGCAAAAGGCAAGGGGCGTGGGCTAAGCCCGAACAAAAAACGGGGGGGAAAGGAGAGAAAGCGGGGCTGACCCACCTCCCCTTGGGACCCACTCCCCCACCGATCGTACCCGGTTCTCCCCCACCCCTGTGCAAGCCCACCTGCACACCAACCCCGTCTCGCCCAAAGGCGTTTTGCACGGCATGCAAACGCCACGCAACTGCAACGCAATTGCAACGCGATCGCCATCCATCGGCACCCGCCCCGCCCCGCCCCATCCACCCCGCACTTACCTTCAACACTTTTTTTAAAAAAATAAGAATTAAGGGTTCTCCCCCCTTCCTCCAACCAAAGCAAGGTTGCAAGGGCACCCCCAGCCCCAAAGCCCGGGCCTCTCGCCTACTGCCCGGTGCCAAAGGAAAAAGGAACGGCGAAAAATGGTGCTCGGTGCTGGCGATCAGCAAAGGGCGGCGGGAGCGTCGCACGCTTACTCAGCGTAGTCGCAGCGGCAGCAGCAGCGGCAGCCCCTCCGCTCTTTCCCCCCAGCGAGCCTTCTCTGGCGGGCTGCCCCGTCCCCCCCTGGGCTGAAATAGGCGCCCCTCCCCTTGCAGCAGCTCAGCCGCGCCGCGCCCCCATTGGCTGCCGCAGAGCCTCGGCCCACAGCGACGTAGCGTTCTCCTTTCGCTGTTCTCTACCTACATCTTGTTTCATCCCATAATGCCACGAGGAAATTGCAGAACCGATTTTTTTCTTGGCTCTTTTTTGGGGGGGTTTTTTGGAGGGGTGGGGGAAACTAGGGGTGGGGCAGGAGCGGAGCAAGAGTGACTTAGGTTGCTTGCCAAATTTATATATATATATTTCTATATATATATAGAAAAGAGATGAATATTTATTTTTTGCTACAAACATTCACTGGAAAGAGTATGTCACTCCTTCGCTCCCTCCTCCCTCGCTTTTTGGCAAGGATCTACTTAGTTCAGGAACAGCTGCATCACCAGGCAGAATTGCAACAGGTGTAGCTTTATTCTCCCCATCACTCCATTGTCTGCAAGCCTGGAAAAGGCTCACCTGTTGCATTGCAAAATGTAAAAATCTTTTTTAAATAGCAGTGAAAATAATAATAATAATAGCAGCAGCAGCAACAACCTTGTGTAAGCAGATCCTCAAAGGTGAGGTTACATTGGCTGCAATATTATATCCACATGTCTCTGAGTAAGGTCCTTGGAACTCAGTGGGGCTTACTTCTGAGTAAATTTCTATAGGCTTGCACGGACAGTCACTCTACAACTGGATGCATTTGGTAGCAAATAATGTCATGTGAGGCAGGGCCTGCCTGAAACGAAGAATAAATATAAAAAAACCAAGATACAATTTTAATGGCTCCCCCGGCCTATCTCTTGTATTTGCATGGCCCTTGATCCTGAAGAAAAAGGGCCCTTGTCCTTCTAAGATGAAAACATCAGCATAGGACATAGTAATAAACATGTATTTTTAAATTTAAGATGGGTTCATCAGAGTGGTTTTGTAGGGGTTTAATTTTTGTGAATGGCCCAGAGAGTGCTGGCTATTGGGCAGCACAGATAATAACAGAATTCTTTCCTTGGATATCTAACAGAGAGAAAGCCAGAAACAGAAAAGCAATATACCTTGTATACTTATTTAAAACGTTAGACATCTGATTCAGGTGGCCACTAACAACAGAATACAATAAACAACCATTTCAAACCCATCTTAATGGTATAACCCCTAAAACATTCAAACAGCTGTTCAAAATGGGAGAATAAAAAGAGGGATCCAATTTCAGAAGACAGATAAAACCCCACATTTAGTAGAGTGAATGTTCAGGGCCCAAATGCCTTTCTTAAAAGTAAGGGGTTTTTTTTAATGCCAACTTATAGAATAAAATTAGAAACAGATTTCCCTTGTGGGGGGGGGGGGACTCCAAAGACTGAAGAATCTAGAACTGTTAAAAGCCACATTGATCAGAATTAATTTTAAGCATTAGGCAGAATTTCTTATGTGGGTGTTACCAAAATCAGAGCCTGCACGCTCAGCTATTATTATACCAAAAAGTACAAGGGGGAATTTTATATGGTGCAGCTTCTCCCTCTAAACAGTTGAACTGTATGGGCAAGAAAAAGGGAGTTTAAAGTCTAGCAATGGAAGAATAAAGGGACTCAGCTTCCAGAGGTCCAAGGGGCTGAAGCAGTCCCCGATCCTTTTCAGCAGATTTAAGATCTGAGAAACTACTGTGGGCCCCACTGCAAAATATCTGAACAATGGATTACCACTTTGGCATCTATCTGCCACACTTATGGATCTTAGGCTGATCTGTGTCTCTCAGACAATCACAAGGTTTCTTTGATAAGTGTTTGAGTAGTCTGGGTAATTGTTGGCAGTCCAACTTAGCTAAGGTTTGTTTAAACATTTCAGCAATGTCCACCAGCTGCCCGCTAAAGGAGGTTATTACATGGATGATTTTTGTACTGGAACCGTCTTTAATAATCAGTGATGTGCATGGTCTTTTAAATTATTGACCTGCTTCATGGAAATTAACCAATGGAAGGGGAAGTAGATTTTCTGAGTCTTTCGACAGCTAAAAGAATGATAATACAACACTGGAAAGATAAACACTTTCAAGTTTTTGAAAAGGTGACCTATAACAACCAATTCAAACAGGGCTTTCTCAGTGGTTACACCTCAACGACGGAAGGGCCTGCTGTGAGAGACACATCACATATCCCAGAATGTAACTTTCAAGAGGAAGTAAAAGATGTATCTCTTCCGACAAGCCATCCCAAATTAGTTTTATTCAATAGGATTCTTTTTAGTTTAAATTCAAATTGTTGGTTTTAATTTCTTGTAAACCACCCAGAACCTACGAGAATGGGACGATATCTAAAAATCAAGATAAATAACTAGAAAATACTTATTTGGAACACTTTTGTCAAGGCATATATTTACCAGAAAGACGTATGCACTTCATATAAGTCCATGTGTGGATATTTTCAAAGGGGAGATTGTACAAACATTTTTTTTTTAATTTGGGGGACCTTCCTTGTGGACAGCATTGGAGGAGTACCACGATGGGGACCCCTGGGCTGGACCACGCAATTTCCTGTGCTAGTTCCAATGTTGTTATTCAAAGATACTCAAGAGAGCTAAACACAATATGGAAGGACAGATGCTAAATTGACAACACATTTCCACAAACATATATAAACAACACCTGAGTTTCACTAAATGAGGGTGCCAAAGGTACTTCCCCAACACAAAGGAAGCTAAAATTTGGTATACACAGAATTTAATTAATCTTAATTGCAAGAAAAAGTCTGAAGATAGAACAAATGTCAAGATGTGGAGCCTGATCTCCCTAACAGTACCTCCCTCCAGCACACAACAAGCTGCGACAAAGTTGGTCTGCAGAATCACATTCTTCATACACTTGAAAAAGTCTCGGATTTGGAGGTAGCTTAAGGGTTAGGGTTAGAACAGCAATTAACACTTCCTTAGTTTGGGACAAATCAAGCATGTGTGAGCCATATCCTGACACCTACTGAATGCGATCAGAGTGCAAATGCTCCTCTAAGATGGTGCTGGTCATCCACAACTTCAAAAATAACACATCCTTTTAAAAATTGGTACTGCCCAGCTTTTATGATGCAGTGCTAGGCAAGGTTAGGCAGAACGTGTCTGGAACTTGCTGGGAATTGTAGGCCTTTTTCCGTCTGATCTTGCATAGGATTGCAGCCCAAATTTCCTCTTTCCCTCTATTTCCAAGGCTGTCAGAACACAAAAACTCTAACCTGTCTTCCTTGGAGACAGGTGAGGTAGGAAGGTGCTTTAGTAAAGCAAACACTTTCATTTCTCAAAGCCAAAAGCAGTTCTTATCTAAGAAATATGCTTGGAGAAAGCAGCTACAAGGCACAGTAGTTTTCTTAATAAGCGGAATGCAATAAGGCCTTATCCAAGAAACTATCTTGGCTTTTGGACCTGGGAAAATTACAGTACCTTTTGAACCTTAATAACCTTCTCGCCATTTGTCCTGTAGCGTCCCTCTAATATAGTGTGTGAGTTGTCAGGGGACCATCCTCATGTCAGTAGCATTATAGAAAATTAAAATGGCAGTTCTTTGACTGGAGGATTTGTTGTTGCATAAAAGATTTCTTTTATGTTACAATTTCAAGGAGTGTTGGAAGACAGGCAACAGGACACATTTTGGGGCTGATTGTATAGGTTGGATCTGTATTGAATTCCCTTGGCAACTTTGTCTATTTCAGCTTGCTCTGTTTATTTTAGTTGTTTTGCTTTCAATAAAAAGCAATAAAATACATATATTTTTTAAACGGCAGTTCTTGGGCGGCAATGTCTCCTGTTTTACAAAGCGGAGTCCTCTGCTTCAAGGGCCTTCCTCTCCAGTTCCAGTTAATAGACAGCTATCAGTACTGTTGCCTTTATGAAGTTGCCTTGTTTCAGTAACCCACAGACAAGATTAACCACAGCCTAAGATTCAGATGCAATGCTAAATTGTAGCTTATTGGAAAGAAACACTTCTGACTTCCCCCTTACAGGCAGGCCCGACAAAAAGAAGAGGGTGGCTGTTTACCTTATACATGTACTATTTCTTATGTCCAAGCTGGGCAACTGAGTTTTGATCTTAAAACAAGAGACGGTTGTTGGAGAGAAGGCTGTGAGAATAATGTATCTTTTGTGTTAGTGATGAAATGTGACTTTAAAAGCTGGGGTGTGTGCGAGTGTTTGACATTGTGTGTGCTAGCTCTAGAGAGTGGAAGGAAGGCCAGTCATTTCTTGAAGCTCCCAGATTAGCAAAGCACTAGAACAGGCCTTCCCAGATGGGTGCCTTCCAGGTGTTGGACTGCAACTCCCATCTGCCCCAGCCAACATGGCTACTTGACGATAAAGATGCTTCTATTGATCTGGTGACAGAGTTAAAAATCAGCATGACACAACTTATTTCTAAAACAGGTTCTCCTAAAAACTAGCAAGCCATCTTCTCATTATGAAGAGGGCTCATAGCAACTCAGGCTGTAGGTCCACCTGTGTCAACAGAGCCTACTCCGATCTTTCCCAGATTTTCAGTAGGTACTAGGGGAAGTCTTGGGTTTGTATGGAAGGACAATAAAACAACACAACAACAGGGTCATAGCCAGTGCTGCAGTGAAGTTGGGGCACATGGGAATGCAGCACTGGCACCTTTTGGGGAACATGGATACTGACATCATCTTTAGACTTCCATGTTTCCTTTGAACGGAGCTGTGAGACTCACAGGGTTTAGGCAGCGTGATGACACGCGTTTAAAAATTGAATCATGGTTATCATGTTCTCTGAATCCAACTGAGAGAACAACCCACAGTTCATAACCCAACAACAAACCATGGGTTCTCTTCATGTGTTGTTCAAGGTTAACAAGCCAAACCTTCATTAACACAGTTGGGTTCAATTAACATGATAACCCATGCTCAATCCTGGGCCAAGCCAGTAGCTGGGGGAAAGTTTTCCAACAATCAGATGTTTTCATTATTGTAATGCAA